CTTGGTTTTAATCGAATGATGCATGTTTATTGAGTCAATTGAAGCCTGATCAGCTTTTCCTGATTTCTGCTGCAACCTGAGATAGATAGAATCTGATTAGGTTGTTAGAGCCTCATCATTCGGTAGTAGGAGATTGTCTATAGGAGAGTTAGCCAGTTTACTGCTTTGTACTGGAATCCAATTCCAGCAGTGGAGTTATGTGCTTATTGCTTCAGCTTTCTATCCCGGTGAAGACTAGTTGTCTGCCGGGTAGTTAGACTGAGAGGGCTTGGTCAGCTTAAGAGATTCTAAGCTACTGTCGGATCTTCCGCAATCTAATCAACAGTAAATCAATCCAGGGAAAATACAATTGAAACCTAACTAAGGAGCTAGGGGGACTCATTCCCGAGTGACTCTTCTTTGCTTGAGAAAACCGTACCAATTCCTGCTTTCTTTCTGCTTTTGCTTAAAACAACAAACACTTAACTTAGTTGGCTAGATAATAGATAATCACGGAGTAAGCAGTAGATCTAGACCCCGGGTTGATAATAGAACTTGCCATTTTATTGCATTCTCGGACTGCGATTACACTTGGTCGTAGTTTGGTGTTGTGTTTTGGTGTGTCAGTCTTCTAAGACGTCACCTATCTCTCTTAATGCAAGTACTAGACTCAAACCAAGATCATGAGAAGCATTGGAAGTAAGACACCCAGTTCATGGATAAAGGGACTCGCACCATTCACAACTAAGGACTCATTGTACCGGGGCGCTCTTTCCATTCATTTCACCGTTGGAACCCCTTTTTCACTTTCATTTTACTTTTCTTTTTGTTTCTTTTCATTCACTTGGCGAGGGTTCCAACTGCAGTCTTTTGCACGGTCGACCCTTATTAGTCGAGCAAGAGAAATTTCTGTACATCTGGCGCTCGCCAAAGTACTTCTTTTAACTCCTTTTCCTCAACTCGTGTGGAGGGTCAATGAAATTAAGGGGGGTCGAAAGCTCTATCCGTGCCCTTAAAAACACATCCTCGAGTAGGCAAACCGTTCAACGGGTGAAAATTTTACTTGTACTAGAGACAGCTTAGCTTCACCTTGTAGGAGTACCACACTAAGGATCACTACAATCTCTTCCAAAACCCGATTTTGTGCAATGAACGGTGCCACACACGTTGGGCTTACCCCATGTTTAAGATTTCAATGATTTCGACATGGAGGACCAACTGCTTTTCATTTCGCACATGAGCATCCTGTTCGATACACGAGTCCATATCACAATTCAAACGGAGTCACCATTACCACATGAATTCAACGGTCTTAACTCCACTAATTCACAAAATCAACCGGCAAAACAGAGAGCTAGATAGGAAAAATCTTATACTTCAACATCCTCCATAGTGCTACACTACCTCCCTAGGTTGCATATTACTATAGAGACTGTCAATTCAAAGCATACTGAGCAGGCAATTTGCAAGGAAATACGTACTTGGAGCCCTCAAATCAAATTTGGATAGTGGACGATGCCACACACACAAACAGCCGAACATTCACACGCATACATAATCGAACATTCCCCCACACTTAAGCACTACATTGTCCTCAATGGAGGAAAGATAAGGACGCTAGAACGAAGTTACCAGATCAACGGTGAATGATGGTGGACGGGGCAGGCGGTGCATTCAGAGAGTAGACAGAACACAAACACCACACAAAATCTCACAAAGGTTGAGTTATTGACTCTAAAATCAAAGAAGAAAACTAACTCAACCGAGGAGAAAAAGAGAAAGAAATACAAACCGACTAGTTGGGTTGCCTCCCAACAAGTGCTTCTTTCACGTCGTGAGCTAGACGATGACTCCTAAGTTTTGGTCCACCCCAATACCTCCTTAAAGTTAAGGTTCTCGTCAATGAGGTGGAGTCTCAAGTCATGAGCATGTGGCATGACAGGTGATGGAAGCTCGTGCACTTGATGTAGATGAAGTCTCCACCCTCGAGACCACTTCTTCTCTTCTCTCGTCTCACTACCCCCAAACTAGATATGACAACATCGAGACACCACCATCGCATCCACCAAGAGGGACCGATGTCAATGTGGCCTTGGTCTGGCAAAGAGAAACTGCAAAAGGGTCCTTGCTAAGCAGTTCCTCGAAGTTTGCTGGGGATATTACTTGCAACATAAGGCTGGTGCAAGCCTCTTCCACCTCAACTTCGTCCCCAGCCTGGACGCCAATTGCTTCTTCAACCCCCTTCTTTCTTCATGTGGTACCACCCCTGGGAAAAGATCAAGGACTCCTTTTGCTTCACTTTCGTCATCCTCCACAACTTCTTTCTGCACCCTTTCTTGCTCTTCTTCTTCCAGCACGGATTGGAGGGCAAGTTGCCAAACAATTTCTTTGATGAGATCATCTTGCATCTCAGCACACATGTCCGCCTCTTCAAAGCTCGGTGTGGGATGTTGGAAGGTGTGGTCGGCTACGACAGGATATTCCTGATCATGATCATCACGGGAGCTATCCATGACAACTTCTGTCTGCTCCACAATGTCTTTGTAGCCTTCGTCTTCCTCCTCCTCTTCTAGTATAGTAGCAGAAGGGTGATCTTGAGCAGGCTGTGTATAATAATTCTCAAGATCATCGAGGCTCTTCTTAATACTCAGGAGGATCTCTTCTATTTCACGATAGGCCTGGGTACAAAGATCCATCTTGGAGCATGATCTCTTAGTGTCTCGAGCAAACTGCTCCATGAGAAGCCTCAATTCATAGTTTGGATCTGGCCGTGGAGTGTAGCATGGCTCTGCATAATGGCCCTTCTGGTTGTGGGACAAATTCTTCTTGATAAGGAGGTTGTTCTTGATATGCCCAGGGGTCTGATTGTTATCCGTAGTAAGGGAGTTGGTACTGGAACTTGAATCCATAGTCTTCTCCTCCTTGATTGCTCCAGGGAGTCTCGGGGTAATACCACTCGAACGGTGGTGGATACCCCCAATGATTGGAGAAGCTATGAGGATCCATGATTCAAATCTGTACAAACAAAAACAAAAACACCCAAGTGAAAAGCAAGGGTGGAATGGAAAAGAAAAACGCTAAAATAACAAACTTCTGCCTTTCTTAATACTCTCGAAATCCCCGGCAATGGCGCCAAAATCTTGAGTCGCTATGACAGAACTCCTAACAATGGCAAGTATAACCAATGAAAGGGACTACAGTATAATGGCTCAAGTAATAAATATCGAATCCACGGGTCTCTAGAGTTACTATTACTCAGCGTCAGTTCATTATCTAGCAAACCAGATTAATATGGAAGAACTAAAACTACTCTAACAAACTACAGTTAAAGTTAATCTAATTACAGGTTGGGAACTCACTTAGGTATGATTCCCCCTAGCCACTAGCCAGATTAATGATTGATGATTTCTAACTTGTTTCGGTTTCATTCACAATTCGGAGAATCCTTGCCTAGACCTTGAATCTCGACTAAAGGATCAAGGCGTTCTGAACTAGACTCCCTCTATCGAATGAGGTTCTCACTCGATACAAAGCAATGAATCGAACCTCGACTAAAGCAATCGATCCAATACTATCAATCCATGGTGCTCTATTGACCTAATCAGGTATTCGCTCCATAAGATCAAAGCAGAATCAATAATCTCGCTAAAGCAGAATTGAATCATGAAAACATGCATAGATTGAATATGAACTCAATATTATCAAGTAAGAGTACTCATACAATCATCCAATCAAACAAACATAGCTAGGGTTCCTCAAAACCTAAGTGAAGGGAAATTACTCCATAGAGAAGAGAGAGACTGCAGTAAGAATTTCAGATGATCAGACTTCAAGTCCGGGCTTGTTCCTCAAGCTTCCAAGGCAATGAAATCCTCCAATTCCACTCCAAGAATGCCCTCAAATCGCCCTCTCTCTCTTTGGTTCGTCCCTTGGGTGTTTTGGATCCAAAACCCAGCTCTCCTCTTGCAAAAATGCGCAAAACAGGCTTTTAACACCCTGCGTTCGCGATCCCCGGTCATAATCCCCGGTCGGGTATTTCGGGTGCCCGGTCGGGGATTTAGAAACGCAGCATAGCGGTACAGGGGATAATACCCGATCGAGGTCCAGCATACCCGATCGGGTATTTTTGCTCTCTGGCCGGGACCCCTTCTGTTTCTAGACGTCCAAAATCGATTTTCCCCAGCCTCTCTTAGCGATTTACCTGGCCGGGTATTATTACTCATGGCCGGGTATTTTGCTCCTCCAGCCCCCTTCAACTCAAACGTCCTCCTTTTGACCCGAACCTCGTTTCCTCTTCTAACATCAACGCCAAGCCCTGAAATATGACATAAACACACAACCTAGCGTAAAATCGGCTTAAAACATGAGAATCTCTTCTCCAATGGCTCAAGAATAGGGGTATAAACATGTGTAATTATTGGTCTATCATCCACAATGATAGGTCTAGGTGAATACAGACCGAGGTAACTAGAGGAAGACTCTTAACAAAGGCCCCTACCAACTAGATCATAGGGAGGAGCATGGTAACTATTCAGAGCATCAGAACCAGCTCCACCAGCCACGGCAAGTGTCAGTCCCTTCCCCTAAATGGAAGAGTAAGGCCCGGCCAGAGAACAACCCTCGCGGCTTTCCGGTTTCACGTGCGCCTAAGATAAGTTCCCTCCAAGGGCGTATGAAATCAAACATGAATGATGGATTTGTTGGTCCTGTATTTCATACTGATTTTGACCATCCGCGAAAGGAAAAGGGGAGATGGGTGCTTGAATCTCGTCCGGCGTCTCGGGATGGTTACAAAATCTATAGCTCAAGTGAGAGGTTGGGGAACGAGTCACTACCCTGCGCCATTCCCTCGTGACTGACTAGTCTCGGGGAAAAATATGCCACCGTAAGCTAGTGATAGATGATGATGTAATATTCCCAGCTCCCCTCGTCCCTATGTAGCCCATGCAGCAAAGGGAGATGCAACAGCGCTGCATAGAGAAAAAGCAGAACCGTGTCTCGACAACGAAGGGCAATAAAAAATGCTTCCTTCAAACCATGTGCTTGGTAATCATAAGGAAGTAAAATTTACCACGGGTTCTCACAAAGTGGGGAAATCCTGGAAGCTAGTTGTGGCAAATAACTTTAGCATGGTCACTAATGAGAGGTCGAAGAGGATGTTGCGGTTGCGGAAGAATGGTAACCAATGTTTGAAGTGGGGTCGGGTCATCCTGGTTCCCAGGCAACTCAAGCAGGCACTGGAATGTATTTTGCTAGATGATCAAGGGATTGTGGGTTCGAAGGCTACCTTATCTTATAATGGTTATGTCGTCCCAATGAAGAATAATCTCTTCGAATTCCATAGCCGCTGGACATGGCCCTCAAACCAATGGCCTTTGAAATCGGCCAAGTGGAGAGTGGAGCTGGTGGTGGTTTACGGCATAGAAGAAGCCAACCACATGGTGATGCGGTTAATGCATCGAGTGGGTTAGTGTTAGCTTGGTCCCCCGGAGTAGATGCTTCGTGTTTTTTCATTCCAATTTCGTCATTTGTGTTCGCATTAATGAAGGAGATATTTCTTATGTGGTGGTTCGTGTTTATATTAGTTGTAGTGATTCAATAAGAGCCCCCAAGATGGCTCAGCTCCATCACATTTGTGAAGAAATCTATTTACCCTTTTGTAGTGATTCAATAATAGGTGATCGCTACCTGACACGCTAGTCAAACATTTCACGGATCATGGCTCTAATAATAGAGCATTACTCCTATTCGATAGATCGTATATAAGAAATAGTCGCCCCCTGTTCAGATTTTATGCTTGTTGGGCTGATAATCCCGAAGTTAAGGCTATGGTGAGGTACGTTTGGCAAATGGGAATCCGTAGTATGCCAATGTACCAACTATAGGAGAAGCTAAAGAAACTTCGCCATCTACTCTATAATTGGAGAAGGGAGGCAAATACCAATTTCCTTCAGAACATTAACACCCTCAAGGCAGAAATTGATCGAATCAAGGAAATTCCTCCTATTGACTAGGACGAGGTGAGGATATTAGAAACTGAGTCAAACAGGCAATGTGAGGCCGAGGAAATTTATTGGTAGCAAAAAACGAGATTCCATTGGCTTAAGAAGGGTGATAGAAACACCTCGTATTTTCATACGGCTACGAAGGTCCGCAAGAAAAAGAACTTTGTGTCCAGCCTTCGTAATAATAGTGGGGAATGGGACGCTGAGGAGAAAGATAAAGCGGACATTGCCATAGAATTCTATCAAACTCTATTTACCTTAGAAAATCATGTGCTGAACATGGCAGATCGGGCAGCTACGTTGGTAATAGCCCGACATGTAACGGCAGAGATGAATGCCAATCTCACGGCAGAAGTTCTCTCGACTGAAGTCTGGAGAACGATCTTTTATATGGGATTAAAACAGGCGCTGGGATCTGATGGATTCACGAAGAATTTTTTCAAAGCTTTTTTGGATATTGTCGGCACGTCTGTGATTGTGGAGGTCTGCTGGTTTTTCACCACGAGCAAAATGCTCCGTATCTTTAATCATACATGGCTCACTCTAATTCCTAAAGTTGGTAACGTCGAGACCATGAGACAGCTCCGACCAATTAACTTATGTCAATCTGTGTACAAAACTATAACCAAGATCATGGCGGAAAGGTTGGCCTGTCTCTTACCGCAAATCATCTTTGAAGGCCATAATGCTTTGATCCGTGAGCGACAAATAGTGGAGAATGTCCTCCTAGGACATGAATTAATGCATTACTTAAAATAAAAACGCAAGGGAAAAAAGAGTACATGGCTCTAAAGTTTGACATGGAAAAGGCCTATGATAGAGTCGAATGGTCATTTCTCCTTGACGTTTTGAAAAGGTTGGGCTTTAATTCAACCTGGCGAAACTGGATACAGGAATTCCTCTGCTCTGCGTCGTTCTCAGTTTTAATGAATGACACTCCCTCGGGGTTCTTCTCTCCCTCTAGGGGACTTTGTCAGGGTGATCCACTTCCACCCCTCCTGTGTTGTGCTTTGCACGGAGGGGTATGTGACTCTCCTTCGCAAAGATATTTATGAAGGGAGGTTAGTGGGGATGAAAGTCGCCCCTAGAGCTCCTCGAATATGGCATCTGTTTTTTGCAGATGACTCATATTTTTTCTTCATAGGGTCTCTCCAGGAGTGTGAGATTTTGATTGAGGTTCTGAATGAATATGAGGAACTGAGTGGCCAGAGGGTTAACTTGGATAAATCGACAATTTGCTTTAGTAAGGACAGTGCGCTGCCAGACCAAGAACTCTTGGGTTAGATTTTGGGTATGGGTGCAGTGGGGGTCCAAGATAAATATATGGGGCTCCCCACGTTAGTTGCCCAATCTAAAATGGCTACTTTCCATTATTTGGAGGAGAAGCTATCAGCTCGTCTACAGGGGTGGAAGAAAAAGACGTTCTCTTGGGGGGCTAAAGAGACTTTGATCAAGTCTGTCGCTTTAGCATTGTCGTTGCATGTTATGTCGTTCTTCAAGATACGTCTCCCTTTGTTGCCTCTTGGACAAGCATGTGGCCAGATTCTGGTGGGGTGTTGTAGAAGGGTAGTCTAGAATTTGATGGATGCCCTGGCGTAATATATGGCGGAGTAAACATGATGGGGTATGGTGTTTCGTCATTTCGAGCATGTTAATCAGACTCTTCTAGCCAAGATTGGATGTCGGATCCTAAATGAACCTCAATCCTTGTTAGCTGACTCGCATGAAACTACACCACAAAAAATCCCGACTAGAGTCCATGTTTTTAAACTCTAGCCAGTTGCGGTATAAAGCAAGTATTTAGATATCAAACCAGGCCGGTCCGTCTACCCCTACTTCAATTGTTATAATCATTATCTAGCAACAAAGTTTTGGTTTGAAATTTTGCTTATTATAACAAAATAAGGTAAAGGTAAATGGGTTCAAAAACTCTTTTGTGGAAGGATCACTAGAGTGTCGCTTCCCCCTAACTACTACCATGATATGTGAATTGGAACGATTGTTTTGGGAAAGGTAATCGTGAACCGCAGAGGAATGCATATATGGTCGGAGACCACAATCTCAATTGCTAAACCGAGGTGAGGATGAAAGGTCGTGTCACTCGACCCTCTTGGTTTAGGCAATTGGTAATTGACTTACTCCCTCACTCAACTCAAAGGTCGGACGGCTTAATCACGATTAATCGACTTGCTCAAATCAATATTGAGGGTTGCCCTAAATTAACCTAGTTAGGTGGCTTAAAAGCTGAAGGAAAACCAACTCGATTGAGTCTCCCTTGGAAGGGGGATTTTCCTCTCTAAGATAGGTTAAGGTTGCTAATTAGATTGCTAGCTCCAACATGCACAAATCTAAGGGTGATAAGCACAATTATGCACAATCCTTAGCTTGCTAAGAACCAAAATGCACAAACCTACGGATGCTAAGCACAAAACATGCACAACCCTTAGGTTTCTAAGCACAAGCATGGGCAATCAATCATGAAAAATACCTCAATCATTGAACTAAGGGTTCGTTTGGAATTTCCGAATGTTGAATCGTTGCATTGTAATGAATTACCATAATATAAATACATGTATTGAAACAATGTATGAATTTTAACAATACATTGTTTGGTTGTTGAGATTCTACTTTATGCATTGATTTACATAAAGTTTCTTTTATGGGGAAATGTCACATTTACCCTCAACTTTTAGAATAAGACAAAAACTACTGAGGATATAAATGGAAAGAAAAAGTTGAGACAAATCTAAAAGCAACAATCACAACAATCTCAACTTTACTTGAGATTGTATAATGCATCATTTTTTGTGATTGTTGGTGAGACATACCTAAAACAATGCATGCATTGTTTAACAATTTGGCACTTCCAAACATTGTATTGTGCACAATACATGTATTCAACAAACACAACTCTAACAATCACAACTTCCGAAACGACCCTTAAACAATACCCAATGACAATCATTCAATTCACATACAAGAAACTACATGGTAGAGTTAGGGTTTCACAACACCCAAGTGAAAGGAGATCTACTCCATGCTAGAAATGTGGAAAACACAAAGAGAAGAAGAGGAAACCATCTTGGAGGATGCTCCCAATCTCCTTGGCCCTTGACTCGCTATGACACAACTCCTAACAAAGGCCAAGTGTAACCAATGAAAGGAATGCAGTATAGTGGCTCAAGTAATAAATATCGAATCCACGGGTCTCTAGAGTTACTATTACTCAGCTTCAGTTCATTATCTAGCAAACCAGATTAAGATAGAACAACTAAAACTACACTAGCAAACTACAGTTAAAGTTAATCTAATTACAGGTTGGGAACTCACCTAGGTATGATCCCCCCCTAGCCACTAGCCAGATTAATGATTGGTGATCTCTAACCTGTTTCACTTTCGTTCACAATGCGGATAATCCTTAACTATAACTGGAGTCTCGACTAAAGGAACAAGGCCCTCTTGAGTCAATTGCCTAGAGGGACCTATCCTTCTCTAGAACAACCGATCAAGGCGTTCTGAACTAGACTCCCTTTAACGAATGAAGTTCTCAATCGATACAAAGCATTGAATCAACCCTCGACTAAAGCAATCGATCACATACTATCAATATATGGTTCTCTATTAACCTAATCAGGTATACGCTCTCTTAAGATCAAAGCAGAATCAATAATCTCGACTAAAGCAAAATTGAATCATGAAAATATGCATAGATTGAATATGAACTCAAGATTATCAAGTAAGAGTACTCATACAATCATCCAATCAAACAAACATGACTAGGGTTTCTCAAAACCTAAGTGAAGGGAAGTTACTCCATTGAGAAGAGAGAGAATGGAGTATAACTTTCCAGATCTTCAATCTTAATGTCTGGGCTTGTTCCTCGAGCTTCCAAGGCGAAGAAATCATCCAAGATCGCCCTCAAATCACCCTCTCTCTCTTCGGTTCGTGCCTTGCGTGTTTGGTATCCAAAACCCAGCTCTACCCCTCCAAAAACGCACCAAACAAGCTTTTAACAGCCTGTGTTAGCGAAACCCGGTTCAAATACCGGGTCGGGTATTTAGGGAACCGGTCGGGTATCAACAAAATGCCCTGAGTCACTTTTCTGTGCAAAAGGGAAAATACCCGGTCGGGTATTTTGGTTCACGAACCGGGGCCTGCTGATGCTGCCAAAAATACCTTATCAGATGGTCAAAATACACGGTCGGGTATTTTAATCGGGTATTTTGGAGTTCCGGGTCCCCTATCTTTGATTCTTCGGATCTCCCTCGTTCGAACTCCAAATCATGTGTCGTTTGATCTCAGACGCTCGTAGTCTCGTAATATTTCTTATCATGACAAGCTTACATGATTCTATGGTCACAAAGTGAGGTAGAAATCCATTCTTCTTCAGGTCATGCCCGAGCTTCGTCGCCCGAGTTGCCAATTGATCTCCGATTCACTTGAAATTTGCACCTATGCTTCACTTT